TCATCCTGAGATTTTGTATTCAAGTTATAGGCTCGATCTTCTCTTGTTCCTTTGCATCCTCGCATAACCTGCAATAGTGTCACACTTACAGACAAAGTCCCTAATCAGAATCCTTAGACTGCACTTATTCAGTCCTATGTATATGTATATTGGTAACCCTCACATCAAGCCATAAGGCCTTTGATATTTTGCAATCTATTATACTATTACAGGACTGGTAAATGATGTCACGAATTCTCTCGAATATCAACCTATAATAGTGACAAATAGGTTGTCTCACTATCGATTCCACGTCATCTATATGAAGGTTCGATACTAAGCTAGCTAATTATCGTAAAGATTTCAGCTTGGAAGCATCTTTTTATATCGACATCAGCGATATAGAGTCGTAATACTATGATCTGTAATTCCAGTTACAGGAAAAGTTACCATGATCAAGTAAACCTACCTTGTTCAGAATTTTTGCGTGATTGTCGAAGATTTTACTAACGAAGACTCATTGAGTCCTAGCCGCTACACTCGCTACAAAATATTCTATAGATGACAGGTAAATAATAAAGTCCAAGACCGCTTGTGGGGTACTACTAATGGCCCCACTATTGCCAAGAGAGGCACACCTTTGAGGTTATTGTGCCTCTTCCAATAACTGTCCTTTCTCAAAGCCTACCACCAGACAATACAACCATAAGTTAGAATAGGCCTAACAACCGATGTGTAAATCCAAATATTTCCTATATAATTCTTGCATGCTTAGTAGGCATTTAGTCCTTTTTTCATCATTTCCTAAGTATCTTCGTTCCATAAAAGCTTGATAGCAAGCAATACCTGGAAATTCTGAAACACGAGCTCTCCCAGCGATTCATTATTGGCGATTTAGGAGACGGAGGAATTCTGAATCCATTATGTTCCAAGTCCTCAGCTTAAAGTCTCTTATTATGAGACTTTTTTTTAATAAAGAGACTTACACTATTTCTCCAAGTAGATTCACTAAGTTGAGAGCTAACTATAGACTAATAGAAATTACTTTCCTCAAACAAATTGTAATCAATACAACTAAACCGATTGGCTTCCTCATGCCAGGAAGACATCTGGCATTAAGTAGTATGTATGGCACTTGGAATTTAATAAAACTTTGCCAAACATCACGATCGTTTTCTTAAATCTACAATGACCTACTTACCTTTAAATTGTATCCGTGGTAAACAAGTAGTATGTTTGTATTATTGTTTTTTTGTTTTTGTAGTCATAACCTAACCTAACATTAAGTGTAACGACTGTAATTTAAGCCATGAACCAAAAGTAAGAAGAAATAATAAGAAAAAAACGAAAGTAATAAAAAAAACAATTTTCTTGGGATGGATTTTAAAGTCATGCCATGTTACCAAGTTAAAGAAAAGAAGAAGAAGAAAGAAACATTAAATGTTATTATGTATGAGAGATTTTGAAGACCGCTCGACGGACCACTTGATGCATATTATATTGTAGTTTATGTAATCGTCTTTAAAATGAAGCAAAAAAAAAGGTTAACAATGTTTTAACAACAACATTGTATGTCTTTGTTTATTTGTGTCTGTGTTTTTTTTTTCTTCTTCTTCAGCAGACAACAATTGTTATAATTATTAACAATAACAACACTTGGGTGATTATCAACAACAACTACAAATAACAGAAACAAAAAGTTATGTGAACAAAAGTATTAAAAACTTTAAATTATATTTGCGAAAGACAGAAAACAAAAGAAATTATAAAAATGTATATTACTGAGCAGGAAGATTAAAAAAACAAAAACAATAAAATTGTAAGGAAATTACATAAAATCTTAAAGATATAAAAGGATTTAGGTTACTCATATGAAATTGCATAATAAAACCTTTTTTACAAGAACTTTGTTTTATATAAACAACATGTTACAGGCATTAATAGTAAACAAGTTGTTATATACAAAAGCTGTGAAATGTGAAAGTGCAAAATAGAAAACACTGTAGTGTTGACAATATTCCCTAAAGCAAAAAGTAAATAAATAAATAAAAACACAATTGCATTTAACGGTGACAAATTTACTATTTTTTTTATTATTTTTTAATGTTTTTTTTTTGTTGTTTCTTTCTTTGTTTGTTTCATATTTTTATAAAAAAAATTCACTTAATAACTAAAAATAATGAAGTTTTTTTTTTGTTATTGTTAACATTAATAAAACAGAGAAAAACTATTTACAATAATAACAATGCTCCCGCTAGGAAAATGTGAAAATAAAATAGACTTTTAGCGGAGAGCGGACGACTTAAGAAGATAGCTAGAAATGGATAGTGTTTGATAGTCACTGAGTTTTGGGAACTGTTTGGGAATGTGGTATGAAAATGAAAATTTGCAAAATTTTTCAAACAAAATTCTAACCTTAAAACGTTTAAAAATGTTTTGGAAATGAAAAAAGGTTAAAATTATTGTTTTAAAAAATTTTGCTGGAAAAAACGGAAAAATTTAAGAAAATTGCTAACATTATTATGAATATAATAATAATGATGTAACATTTTCAATGTTTTGGTTAAAAAAAAAACAACACAAATTGTTTTTAACTTTACACAATTAATACAAACATCAAATTCCCAGTTAGTTAATGGTGATGTTATAAGTGTTGCGTTTTTTTTCTGGTAATAACGGTATTTTGACGAACCTCCTTTCACGTGTTAATGGCTCGACGGTTGTGCAGGGGTTGCTTAATTGTTGATGTTTGTTCTTTGGTGTTTGCTGGGGTGTTGTTTTTTTTTCTTTTCTTTTTCTATCGCTTTAGCGTATCCGTTTTCAGAGGCGTTTGTTTAATATTGGCGCGCGTTTGTCTTTTCAATTATTTGGCAGCAATTGTTTTATGATGAATTTGAAATGTAATCTACATTATGCTAAGAAAAAATAACTAACGGTTGAGCTTAGAATGGCGCACCGTAGCTACCGCTGGGTCTTGAGGGAGCACCATAAGAACCCGATGGACCACTGGGATAACCACCGAAACCACCACCGCCGCCACCACCAGCTTGTGTGCTTTGTTGGGCGAATTGAGCAACTTGGATGGCTTGACGTACACCTTCCAAATCGATGCCAACAACGCGGCCGCCGCCGCCACCACCGAATGAGGGTACACCGTATTGTGGCGAGGGAGCACCATATGAACCAGAGGGAGTGCCGGGGTAGCCCGCCGCCACCACCACCACCACCGCCGCCGCCGGATTTGCTTTCTTCTTGCAACAAGATTTGACGCACTTGTTCGAGCAATTGAGGATCAACATTTTGGCCTTCATTGGTTTGGAAGCCACCGCTGACAGCTTGATAGCCGCCGCCGCCACCTCCCAAGCCACCACCGAAACCACCGCCAAATCCACCGCCGCCACCGCCACCACCACCGCGCTGATAATTATAACCCGATGGAGGTTCTGCTACGACCAGTGCTGCCAAAGCAAACACCAAGAACTGCAAAGAGAAAAGAGGAAATCTATTAGCCGCCATACATCTCTTAATTGTAATCCTTTGGGGGCAAATATCCTTTTTTTGCTTTTGGATTTTATGTGAAGATTTAGTTTTTTTCTTTTGGATTAACTTACCACGGAGAAGGAGTTCATAGTTGTGAGTCTTGTGTGTGGGGGAAAGAAGTAAAAAACTTAAATTAAAAATAAATTTAGTTGCTTTCAAGTAGGGAACCAACGACTGAATGCCAATGAAAGGCCACAACAGCCCTCTTTATAGTCAGACAAACATCATCAATTCCACAACATAGTGCAAGAGACGACGACGACAGACCTCTCAGCCACAAACGTACAAGCCAACATACTGCAAACAGTGACAGTAAAGCTTCTCTCATATGTTGTTGTTGTTGTTGCTCCACTGATCATCATGTTGTTGATGATGATGATTACGATCGCTAGCAAAGGCTTTTAAAGATGGCTACAAAAAAACGTACTTTATTTTGGCTTAATATTTTACCAGCTTATTTTTGTATTAAAGTTTTTATTTTTAATTTCGTAGCTTTGATTAAGAGGGGGCAATGCGTGCGTAACTTTATTCGGTCATAATGTTGTTCATCTTCTCTGTGCTCCTCTACGCTTTAATCGTCATTGTCAGCAGCGTCAACCTCAATATGGAGTTTAAAATCTTCATGATTTTCATAATGATGAGGTTAAAATTATCTTGCACCCTCTGGTCTATACAAAATCGTTTTTCATTAAGAAATAACATTTACAGCAAAAACAATCATATATTTGCAGTTAAAACTATTTTATCTGTTTTTTTTTTTCATTTTTTGCTACAAAATAAAAACAAACACCTTTTGCTGCTGCTGCTTTCAATAGGAAGTGATTTTGTTTTGGATTTTGTTTTTGTTTGTTTGTTTTCCAATAGCCAATATTTGATTTAACAAACGTGATGAAAACATTTGCCCACCAACCTCTTATTAAAATGACAACTAAACTCTGGCCCCTTAATTAAACAAAAACTAAATAAAATTTCCTTAAAAATTATAGACTTTTTAAAAAAATTTTGGAGAATTTTTTTAATTTTCATTTGGGAATTTTCTTTTTTTTTCTTCTGTAATTCGAATGCATTATTATGCAACTTGTTGCAAATTGTTGTGTACATGACACATGACAACAACAAGGTGTATTTGTTGTGTATGCCAGCAGAAGACAGTGTTTCCCATAGATGTAATGTTTTGTTTTTTTTATGTTTACTTTCCCAAGCTGCTTCTTTTTCATTAAAATGCGAATAATTTGCCGCTTAAAACCACAAATCCCGAATAAGTAATGTATTTGTAAATATTACTTGAAAGTTTCTGTGGTTTCTTTAAACAACATACTAATTATACAACTATAAAATTAATAATTTGTATATTAAGCAGTAATTAAAATTGAACTAAATTGAAGTTATATAGAAAAGATATCAAAATTTTCAAATATTAAAAATCGTCCACACCGGATAGCACCATGGATTAGTACATAGATTTATAAGTTCTGGAGATTCTTACTCGGTTGTTAAGCATTAAAAATACTCAATACTACTGTTTTGGAACACCGACAAAGATTGATGAGAACCAGAGTAGGCATAAGAATAAGACTAAAGCTGTGTAACGGACCAATCAGCTCTTTCTAGACTCCAGCCATTAAAAATGACTTCCAGTCATTAAAATTTACTGAATACTACTGTTTTGGAGGTTAGGCAACCCCGACAAAGACTGATAAGAACCAGAGCGGGCCTAAGAATATTACTAATGTCGTGCAACGCACTGATCAGAAATTTATAGACTCTTGATTGAGACACTTATATTTGTGATCAAAGAAAAAACTGCATTCAAGGAGTTGAACAACTCTGCTCCAACGCAAGGATATAAATCAGATCTCTTCAGAACAGAACACTTTTTAAATCACGGCGAGAGTCCCTTCCCCAACTCTGGAGGATGAAGCAACACTAACACCTTCAGAATAAGAGGAAAATATATAGAAGAAAACTCGGCGATTGAGAGGGACCAGGAAAAAGTTAAAAAACTCTGAATCAGAATAGATTCAGTATCAAAACTAATTGATTTTCTCTCGATTTATTTCGGTCTTTAACAGCGTCTGGGGACTTACGAATAGAGTTGACTTCAATGCCCCCCAAATATTCAATGTTGTGTTTTAATTCACAAACGCACTTCAGATGATGTGACTTTATCTATAGTTATTGAGGAATCAGTAGCTCTTAATATCACATCACTTGACTTACATTTTCTCAAATCAATACAGATTAGTTTGGTCCATCTTTTCCACCTCAAACTAATAGAATTTCAGTAGCATTCGATTCATTAAGATCACTTAAAGGTCTCAAGAGATTACAATTTCACCCACCGAAAACAAGGAGCACATTTACTTCTCTAATGTCATACGATTTAAAAGGATTTGATTTCGTTTAACTACTAGGTTTTCCAGCTTTAACTAATACACCAGAATTTTAGAGAATACTGCAGTATATATAATACAAGGGTAATTCTTAGTTATGTATAAGCACTCTATGTTCGAAAACTTCGACCAAATTTTTATGAAGTTCGTTGAAAATCCTTATATTTGAGTTGTGGAGAAGAAGGTTAGTTAGTTAGTTTGAAAGGGGGATGTAAATATATCAAATCGGAATAAAATATACCTAGACCTCTATTGGGCCTTTTGTGCGCTCCTTAACCAGTGCCTCAAGTGGGAATCGAATCCGGTCTACCAGACTAGAACACTAACCTACCGGAGGCCACGAGAATAAGATAAGCCTACTCTCTTGGATCCATAATTGGACACGATTTGGTACCCGATATATATCGCCTTTCTATTCGTACAACTATCCCTCCATGGTAGGTGTTGTGGCAAACCTACTTATGGCACGAATAAACAAATCTATCTTACGAATGTCTATACATGAGAAATCAGCCAATTCGTGCAAGAAGGTACAGTCCATAGTGTCTAATTTGAAATCGAACAGAGCAGGACACAAAAAAAGTTTTCGAACGTTTCCTCTTCATGTCGCCGTTAATTGGAAGATTTAGGAGTTTAAACTACACTACTGGCTGCCACTAGTCTCATCCATGAAAACCCTATCAATGATATCAGAGCAGTTCTATATAGTTTTTTCTGAATAAGGAGGTTTACAGCATGAAAGCGAGACACCGACAAAAACGTTGATGTCAATTTCATCAGTTTAAGCTTCTTCATCTGCAATCTCATATTAAAGTGACCCGGTATACTGAACAATTTCAGGTTCAAATGTTAAGAGATATTTGACATTCAGGAACCAGTCTAGATGTCGTGTAGACAAAAGAGGGAGATATATATAAAATCCACCACCTACACCCTCTTTGACATGGATCCATTCTTAGCTGCTTTTAGTCTAACCCCGAAATTTATGGCCACTTGTTTGACCATAATATCATCAAGTATGTATCAGCACAAGATGGTATAAGATAGCGTTAACCGGAGTTATCATAAGCGTAGAAATAATCTTCTCAATAATGATACGATAGAGGGATCTGTCAAGTACCTTCTACCAAACAGATACTATATACATTAGAACGGCTAAATGGGAGGGGAAGAAAGAGCGAAATTGTACACTATATTATCGAAAATTGGTTATACTTCAGCCATAAGTCCCCGTTATGTAGAAAAAATTGTCTACGATCAAATTTGAGATCTAGTAATTAAGAATCCCTGCAATTTTTTGCAACCAATGCATATTTAATATTTTCGGCAATTGTTTGTGTATAAATTTTCTTATAGGTAACCGGTATCGTTAGGTAGCATCTGCCTCAAAGGCTAATTGTACTCGTAATATTGTATCTTTTAGTAAAAGTTGTATTTTTTCAAAAAAAAGTATAAATTTACTAAAAATTTACATGTACAAACAATCTATCTGACTGTAAGTATGTAAATTTATATGTGCAATTGTAGTTATGTAAAAAAAAAAAATTAAAAACATTATTTATTAGTTATGACCATTAGTATTGTGGTATGAAATAAGTTTGGAAATTGTCATCATCACTCTCTTAAAGTGTTCAACTTGGAAAATTTATTAATAAATTGCGTTTGCTAGCCAAGTCGAGACGCGCAAATGTGTTTCACAAAACAAATTTTAACCACTACGTTGGCGTAAGTTTTAGAAGTTGTTTGTCTGTATAAAACTATTATCTGTTACAGACTGTGCTGTCTAAATTGTAAATTTTAAAATTACTTACTTTCATTATTCATTGATTTAAATTGATGGAAATTTAGAGATGAGTTGAGTTTTTAGTTACAAACTAGTGTTCACACTAACAACTACGATTTGTATGCGAAAATGTTAAGCCATTAGATAAGTGTCAATGACTTATCTTAATTTCTTTTAACTGAACACATTTTAAGCTATTATCATCAGAAATTGTGATCTGTAGATTTTTAATTTTATCTTAACCTTCCAATTTTTATAAAACACCTATTTGAAAATTAAACAAGCCTAATTACTTTAAAAATCTTGCTCTAATTTTTATGGTTGTACATCACTCTTCATGCCCGCTAAATCCCTGATGAAATAAAACTTTATTTAACATTTTTCTAATTAAGCTTCTTCGCTTTAAAATGTATTAGATTTCGCTGAATTTTACAAACCAACTGTATTTATTATGTTTAGTGAGGAGTTTACAACATTTTTAATTAATTTTAATTTACACAAAGATTTACACTAACAAATACAAACTTATAATATACTTTATAACTATAAAATGTAATAAAAATATACTCTTATCCACATGGCTTTAAGTTTTAAAAGAAACATTAATAATGTACTTAAAACAAAGTAAAATTTACAAAAAAGAAGAATGAACGATCTGAAGCGTAAATGGGTTAAAGCACAAACTGAAACCAAAGCAACAAGTTAAGAGTTTGATAGACTGTTAGCCCGGTTTTAAATTAGCACTGTAGTTACAGTAACCCTATCTACGACTTCACTCTTCTGTAGTATATCTCGATTGGGCCTGTGCTCAACCCCTTTACCCTTCTGGTGGAAATCAAACGCCAAAAACACCGGCTTGACAGATTAGACAGTAACTACCAGTAGGAGGTACAAAGGAAGTAGTAAGGAAGGTAAGAAGGAAGTAAGGAACGACCGAACTAACTAACTACGAACT